TAGTAATATTCAGCTGTTTAAGGAGCTCTACAAATTTCTTAAACTGTCCTGAAGATTTGGAGTTTATTAATCTTTGAGGATAAGGGATAGGTGGTTTATATGGCGCTGGAGGTGCTTGAGTTTTTTCACTTGCGGTATCCTCCTTTTCGTCGTCTTCCTTCTTCTCTAACTCGGATTCCTTCTCTGCTTGTTCAGTTGGTTTTTGTTGCATGGCTGAGTTTTCGGTCCTCGAATCGATCGGTTCGTCCAATTCTTTTCCACTTCTTAGTATCACAGCATTTGCTTGGCCTTTTGGATTCTGTTCGGGTTGTCCAGGAAATGTGCCAGCAGGTGCGGCAGCAGAGGCTTGTTGTTGAGCCACTTGTGATATCTGTGTTTCTAACATTTTGTTGTGGGTGGCTAAAGCGTCTACTTTTCCTGTCAACTGTTTAATTTGCTCGCTGGTGTGTATGTTTTGATTCAGGAATTCTTTATTTGTTTGAGCTTGAGTAGCTATGAATTTTTCTATCATCAATTCGAGGTTGGATTTCCTAGGTGCATTCTGAGCAGTAGCTGGTTTCTGATATCCTTGTGGAGCAGTAGGCATTTGCAATGCATTTTCGCTTTTGTAAGAAAAGTTTGGATGATTTCGCCAACCTGGGTTATAGGTATTTGCGTAGGGATTTCCTTGAGCATAATTTACCTGGTCTGGTGGGATTCCAGCTAGCAATGGGCATTCGGGTGCATTATGAGTGGTGTTTCCGCATAACTCGCAATTTGGAGTTACGGCAGCGACGGTTGCAGTGGGGTTAACGGTCAGACTATCAATCTTCTGTGCTAGAGCATCTACTTTAGCGTTGAACTTTTCAAGGCTGCTAATCTCGTACATCCCACCTTTCGCTGTGGTTTTCTCTGTTGGAGTGCGTTCACCTCCCCATTGGCAATGGTTTTGTGACATGTTTTCGATTAATTGATAGGCTTCATCGTATGGCTTATCCATAAGTGTGCCGCCCGCGGCAGCGTCTATGGTTAATCTAGTATTGTATAGAAGCCCATTATAGAAAGTATGGATTGTCACCCAGTCTTCTAGACCATAGTGAGGACATGTTCTCATCATATCTTTGAATCGTTCCCATGCTTCGTAAAGAGATTCAGTATCTTTTTGTCGAAATCCGTTGATTTGAGCTCTAAGCATAGCAGTTTTGCTTGGCGGAAAATATCTCGCTAAGAAGACGTTCTTCAATTGTTCCCACGTCGTAACGGAGTTGGATGGTAAAGATTGTAACCATGTCCACGCTCTGTCTCTAAGAGAGAATGGGAAAAGATGAAGTCTTATCGCGTCTGGAGTTACTCCATTTGCTTTCACTGTGTCCGCGTATTGTACAAACTTCGTTAGATGTTCATTTGGATCCTCAGTTGCGTTTCCTGAGAATTGGTTTTGTTGTACAGTTGACAGCAATGAAGGTTTCAGCTCAAAATCGTTTCGGGTAATTGCTGGGGCAGCAATGCTACTTCTAGGCTCCATCTGAGAGGGTGTAGCGTATGCCTTCAGCGGTTTGTTTGGAGGTCCTTCAGCCATGTTTGATTCTTCTTCGGATTTGGGAATGGGAGTGAGAGGATCGGGAATGTTATGTTTAAGTTGATACTCAATGATTCGGCTTCTTAGATGTAAGAAGCGTTCTAGTTCCGCGACTGAAGGTTTCAAGATATCGTCTGGTGAGCGATTACTTGGCATACAATCGACAGCACTAGTAAAGGGAAAATGAAAATTGTTAACCTAGTCTATACGGCGTAACAGAAGGTTACACTATTGACTAAACGGGTCCCCGACAACGGCGCCAAAAACTTGATCGCGACTTTCTATGTCTAATACAACCTAACTGCAAGTGCACAGTCTATCGCGTAGTAATAATAGATATCGATCCCACAGGGACTCGTAATCAAACTAGTGTTCTCGGGAGTTACTATGTTTAGCTAGGTAGAATATGTTTAAGGGAATAAGATTGTCACTAAAAGGGAACTAAGAATACTACTTAGATTATAAATGATTGAATCGATATGCAGTAATTGTGTTCTTCAGGGATTTGACAAGTTACCGGTGTATGAAATAATTTTCAGAGTTTATTTAAGCAGAAAATAATGATTTAAATATTCTCGCCTCACGATGGTTATTGACGCTAATCATAATCCTAAGGGCCAAACGTACACTTTCGTATCCCGTTCGGGGTTAAAATTATTTTTTGGAAATCTCTAAGTTCTAATTCATTTTAAAGTGCTTTCGCTGTTATTAAAATGGATGACTAGTGTTTACTATCTGACCTTATCGCAGCTTTCGCTTGTTGGTTCGTATCTTAATTAATTTCCCACTTTTGTGGCAAAACTACTTTTAAATAAGTTCTCGCTCTCGCGACGAAGTTTATTCAGTAAATCAATTTTAAACACTCAGACCATAAATTACCTTTTTGAAAAGAAAGTTTTCCAACCAGTTGTTATCAAATCCCTTTCGAATTATTACTACATATCGATTACCTAAGTTTAGCTAGACATGGATTTGGGAAAGATAAAACATAAATAACAATAATAAATAATAATTTGCATTGTAATAAAACTGGAATCGATTGAAATGAGAAACCTGTAAATATTCCAATTGGCCTTTGGGCAGATCCTCCACAGATGTTGGCAGGATTCTGGTCTTTATGCCAAATTGATCGTACGATAAAGTAGAAATTACAGAAGAATGAAAATGGGAATACAGAAGAAATAAAGAGAAACGAATAAGAATATAAAACTGGAAAATATGCTCTGGAAATAAATTTGGCAGCACTTCGTTGTATGAATGCGGCTCCCCTTCTGAAGTCCCCTGCTTCCCCTTTTATAGAAGTGGAATTCCAACGGTTATCACTGAAGCTGATGGACTTTGAGGCAGATAATTTAGGGAGTAGTGGTCCACTCTGTGGGAATTAGAACTGCTTCTTTAACGTGTAATTGAAGTGGGGCGTTTTTGCCTGCATGACGGTCGTCACAAGGTGTGACGGTCGTCACCCGTGTGACGGTCGTCATGAAGCTGTGACGGTCGTCACATCAGCAAAAACAACTTCTGTGCTTTTTATGATGTTTTCACTCCTTTTTCGTCCATAATTCATCTGAGATTGCTTCTTTTCTTCATGTTGCCTTGTTTAGACGTGATCGTTGAATACCTGCAAAACATCAGACAAATAACACGGAAATAACCCTAAATCGGATCGAAAACGGTTAAACTTTAGTTGAATTATGCATCAAAATATATATACGATTTCGTGTTATCAAAAAGGTTAGGGTTTTTGTGACACACTTTTGAGTGAGCTAACATGTTGGATGTTCCATGTGTTTTAGGGTCGCATCGGTATCTTTTGTGACAATGTTTACACGCGGCTATTGGTTCAGGTTCATCAGGTAAAATGTTAAAGTCTAACCAAACAGAAGAAGTTTTCCTAGTTCCACTAGCGTTAACTATTCTTTTTTTCCTAGCAGGGGGAACGTGAGGAAGTGCAGATTCTACTTGTGTAGGTTCAGCATGGGAAACAGGATGTTCCGGCACTGAAAATATTTGGTAAAACTAAATCAAACAATCTAACAAACAACCATACATACTAAAAGCATACTCATACTCATAATACACAATCATACACACTACAAACCTATATGGTATCATACATATAGCAGTATAAAAATACTCAGAACAAATATATATTAGCAAAAAATTAGAAAAAAGAAATTAGAACAAATGAAACTAAAAAATTAGAACATGCATATTTTAGCAATTATATATTATCGTGGACATATGAGTATATAAAAGCATACTCATTTATATATATAAATGAAACTATCACTAATAACATGTATATATTATAAAGAAACTAGAAAATAATTAGAATATATATATATATATATATATATATATATATATATATATATATATATATATATATATATATATATATATATATATATATATATATATATATATATATATATATATATATATATATATATATATATATATATATGCTGACGGCTAGAACATGTATATATTAGCATGTATGTATATCAGTATGAAAAATGCTATTCCTACACCATTTCCTACACCCAATACTTACACCGTATGCACTATTCACCGTATTTATACGGTGAACAGTGTTTTTTTATTAAAATAATATATTTTTTTAAAATATTAATTTTTTTTTTAAAAAAGTTTTATTTTTAAAATTTATTTTATAACACAAATATAAGATTGCGCATTAACCAACTTCACAGTTGCATTAACCACAAAAATCTACATTATTAACCAATTATTTTACCTATAATTTATTAACCACTTTCACTACTTCATTAACCAATAAAATACACACTATTAACCATGTTCTGGGGAATTTGTTCAAGTATTTGTGAACAGTAATTGAGGTGTAGGGTGTAAAGATGGGTGTCAACATAGCAATCCTGATATCAGTATATAAAAGCATACTCAGTATACAAATTCTTGTTGAAGCAACAATATATAAACATTAAATAGCAGTACTACAAACTAATATATACAAGGCATACTAAGCATATAAATTAAATAGCACTATTGAAAACTAATATGTATAAGGTAGTACTGAAAACTATGGTTTAGTATGCTTTTGCATGCCTTTGTTATCGGTACTGAAAAACATACTGAGCATACAAATTATAACAGTAATGAAAATTGAAAATTAATTTGTAACAGAGGCATACTGAACATCATATTGAGCATACAAATTATGCCTTATATAAATTATGGTTTATGTATATTATCAGAGTTCAGTATACCATCAGAGTTTAGCATACTATAACAACAAAAAACATGGTTGAATTGACAATGAATAATGATCAAAGTACAACAAAAAATGTAAATAAATTCATTTGAAATCAGTAAAGAATTGAACATTACTCTGAGCTAGCATTTCCATACACATCAACATATAACAAATACCAAAGTTGTATTACCATATTCATACCTTGACTCACTCCTTGCAAATTAGCACTTCCATCACCAAGGAAGCTACCATTTCCAGCACCAATGAAGCTACCATCTCCGACTCGATGCGAGCTACCTTTTTCATGTTCCATCTTCCAATAAAATAAATATAATACAATTAGAAACATAATGCATACAGACAATTAATCAATTGAACTATAGACACAACAACAATACTTCATAGTTCATACTACATATGGGAGCATAACACATAAACCTAACATTCATCAAACGATATATTTTCATTGAAAAACAACACGATTCAACAAATGTTTTCACTAAACCCCAAGTTCAACAAATGAAATCATGAAGTAAATCAAAATGATTCAGCAAACCTAAGAAGAAGGTGCAAGCAACATAAACCATAAACAATGTGTGTGAGTAAGTGAGTGAGAGAGAGAGAGAGAGAGAGAGAGAGAGAGAGAGAGAGAGAGAGAGAGAGAGAGAGAGAGAGAGAGAGAGAGAGAGAGAGAGAGAGAGAGAGAGAGAGAGAGAGAGAGAGAGAGAGAGAGAGAGAGAGAGAGAGAGAGAGAGAGAGAGAGAGAGAGAGAGAGAGAGAGAGAGAGAGAGAGAGAGAGAGAGAGAGAGAGAGAGAGACTTACATGAACGGTGATCGGTGGTCGCTGAACAACGATGATTTACGGCGGTGGATGATATGAGAAAACCCTAGCACAGAAAAACGTCTGGGAACGAAAGTGATTTGTGGAGTGACTGAGTGAGAAATACTCATTTCAATTAGGTTTTTCTGGGCTGGTAGCGTTATGCCTAACGTATCTATCCAATCCAGTTTCCTTAATACATTATTGAGTCGGTCGGATATGGATAACACTGGCTCCAAAATATGTATCCTAAACCGCCCGAGTTAACCCATTGGAACCCAGAATTTTCTAAACCGTTGAACCGACCAACCGACTCACCCGAACCGATGTTGCACGGGCTGTATGGTTTGGTCAGGTTGGGTCGGTATTTTAATCTTTGTCCAACCCTACTTGGAATGCAGAACTTGAATTATATATATATATATATATATATATATATATATATATATATATATATATATATATATATATATATATATATATATATATATATATATATATATATATATATATATATATATATATATATATATATATATAAACTTTGGATATAAAATTATAAGAGAGCAAAGAAAGTCAAATATAAACTTAAAGTGATTTTGACCAGTGCGTCTTAGAATGAAGAACTTGAATCATATATATAGCCTTGAACTTCCTCTTACTTTACAAAATTAAGCGATGTGGGACTTCAAAGAACTTGTATCCTATATATAGAATTGGACTCTCTCTTTAATCACAAAACTAAGCTATGTGTGATTTCTTCAACATATATATTTTAAACTAACTCCAACTCTCCACCTTTATTGAAAATATTACATAAGCTTTTACTGTCTTCACTGACAATCATACTCTACTATAAATAGTATAAACATGTATATTTTCAACCAATCTCAACAATCTTTACCTTGATTGAAAATAATACATCAACTTTCATTGTCTTCATCAACAATCATACTCCACCATAAAGAGTATAGTCATTTGAAGCTACACCACTCCAAGGGTTTCCACACTGTCTTCACCGATAATCATAGTTTTAAAAACTATCATACTCTCTCATGAAGAATATATTTCACTTGAAGATAAACCACTTCAAGAATTTCACGTTGTCATTACTAACAATCATATACTTTATCATGAAGAGTAAATTTCGCTTGAAGTTAAACCACTCAAAGAATTTTCACATGTCAAAAACCAGGTTGAAACTTTATGGTGCAACTTCTATGTTGGTCGGAAGCTCGTCAACCATCGACATGCTCTTGCACCTTGTGTAATCTTGATTGTATCAACACATCTTTGACTTAAACTTTCCACAAGTAAAAAAAAATCTTCCATCGATTTTCTCTAGCCAAAATTGTACAGGTGAATTTGTTACTACAACTCAATAACTCTTTCATAACACTACCCTTCTTTTTTGATGTAGAAGATTAGACAAAACTGCAACCACAAAGCATACTAAGAACACTTATCTCTGGTTCAAACAAAAAGCTCTGATACCATTGTTGGGGAGTCCGGGAGCACCAATAGGACTAATGCTTTAGGATAACAAGAGAGGGAGATGTCGTAGTGAGAATCAGAGCCATAACTATTGAGTTAGCTAGACTTTACAAATCTTAAGATATCACCACCGATCTTTAATTTATCCAAGGAAAGGGGAAAAGAAAGAATTACCCATTAATATGCAATGCAAATCAAATAAATAAAGAGATATAAGATTCGAGGGTTGGTTATACTAAGGGAATATATTAGCACCCTGTTGGCTGAAAATTAGCCAACAGAAAGCATTGACAGAAAAAACGTCGACCTCAACAGGAGGTGGGAGAAATAAGCCCAAACCGACAATGTCCTTTGGTGGAAGGAAGCATCCTGAAAATATTGGTAGCAAATGATCGATAACGATAAATCTAGAAGGGACACACCCTAAGTCGACATCACAAGGGAAATTGCATGGTCGACAGGGACCTAAGTCGGTCGATCAAAAAACCAACAAAGGCACCCCCGACAGAAGAGCTTTGGTGCCTGGCGGGAAATAAATTTGACAAAAGGAACGTGGGAGAAGTTACAAGAGTTGTGGTCTGACACGTGGTGGCTCGTGAAGCATCCTGAGAATTATTTTATTTGCCTATATAAAGCAAATCCTGGTTTTGAAGAAGGGGCATCTTTTGTCAACATTTGAAGAAAAACACTCTGAGTACCACACACTAAAGAGAAAAGAGTTTCCCTTTTCATTACAAAATGTACGAATGCGTCCAGTTGTACTTTTCTTTTTTACGCTAAATTTACCAAGTTTTTATGTTATGAAAGCAATGCTTTTACTTTCTTTTTCAGCATTTCTTTGTTTTATTAGGAACATCGTTGTCTTTACTTGCCTAAATTTCATCATACACACACCAAAAAGCGAACAACTTGACGAGTGTACCATAAATCTTAAGCAAACAATCCACCCAGCACCAGAGTCCTGGGACTAGTTTGGCCAATCCCGCAAGCAAACCCATGATGGAAAGTCAGAGGTTGTCCACGCAGAAAACACGTGCAAACAAATTGACACACCCGGTGGGTCCCGTAGGTTTGGGTGTATGCAGTTATATAATGGAAAGATGGTAACACCGCGACAAAACGAAGAAACGTCTTCGCAGGAAAATCTGGTTTTATCACTGGGAACGACTCTAAGCACCGGATCCATGATGATAATCACTTCGACCGCTCATAGAGGACCATTCGTGACTCCGAGTGCACCCGAGGAGAGACCCGCAACGACAGGAGTTGAAGGGCAATACTTGCCCAATTTCACCATGTCGGCACCCCACCACTTAGGGATGGCAACTGAGTTTATGTCAACGTTGTGCTATGGTGGGGTAGGCACGGAAGAGAATTCCTCGTCAGCATTCTCACCATATCAAAACCTAGGGCCCCTGACCCAACAGGGGGGAAGGCCGCCAGGTTTTGGTTCACTTTCCACTGCAATACCGACTTTCACCACTAGTTCGGTCGTGGTTATGCGACAACAGATGGACGGAAGCAATCACAAGATAGTACGTATGTTGACCCAAAAAATGGACACTATTTTGAGACCATTAATACAAGATTCGACTCAGAGTTACCAACAACTGGCAACTCAGATGACACGAATAGGAGACTTCTTAGGGGCCGCAGGAAGACAAACCCCTCCCAACTGTCCCGACACGCCTGCCCAACAAAATGATCCTGTCAAAGAAAGGAACGACCTATAGGCGCCTTAGGACGAACATATTTTCAGGGTGCCCCAAAGGCCCCCATTGTGATGGTCCGCAGGAACCAAGATCCATACCACGTAGTCAGACAAGTTAGGAACGAGAATCCCGGGGGCGAAGCCAACCTAGAGGCCATGGTCGAACGCATTAGGTTCGAAACGGTGTGAACCCAAGTCTTCGATGGCCCGCCTACACGTCCCCTCTACTAGATTTCGTATTACAAACAGAATTACCAAGGGGCTGGAAGGTGCCAAAGTTCACCAAATTTGCAGATGAAATGGAGGAGTCCATCATCAAACACGTCGCTAGGTTTAGACCAAAGCTAGGGACATATCAAATAACGAAGATTTGAAGATGAAATATTTTCCCTCTTCCCTCACCAAAAACACGTTCACGTGGCTCACCTCGTTGCTCCCACAGTCGGTCCATACATGGGCACAGTTAGAGAGATTGTTCCATGAACAATTTTACATGGGACAATCAAAGATCAGCTTAAAGGAATTAGGCAGTGTAAAACAAAAAGCAGCGGAGTCTGTATACCAATATCTGAACAGGTTCAGACTACTGAAAGTGCGATGCTTTACACTAGTCCCTGAACACGAATTGGTCGAAATGACTGCGGGAGGTCTAGACTATTCCATTAGGAAGAATCTAGACACACAATACCTCAGAGATATGGCACAGCTGGCCGACCGCGTCCGGCAGGTCGAACATTTAAGGAGCGAGAAATCTCAGGCTAGTCGGTATCGTAAGAAAGAAAAGGTTATGTTTGTAGCCACCAACGGGTACTCATCTGACGACGAGGAGTTCTTCGAAGAAAATGCCGTCAATATGGATGAACTAAAACTTGGTCCCCCATACGCGCGCAGAGTACTGAAGCCGTCGAACGGAAAGAATCCGGTCGATACAGAAAAAATAGACAAATATGTTGCGAAAACATATTCTTTTGATATATCCAAATGTGACGAGATATTTGATGTATTGGTCAAAGATGGTCAAATTGTCGTCCCGATCGGGAAAAATGATCCCCCTTTAGAACAAAAGAAAAAGAGGGGATTCTGTAAATTTCACAATTTTCTTGGTCATAAGACAACTCAATGTGTTCTTTTCAGGGATTTGGTGCAGAAAGCTTTGAAGGAGGACAACTCCAGTTTGGTGAAAGACCAAAGATGCAAGTGGATGTGAACCCTCTGAAGACCGAGGAAACACTATACTCTGAAGTGGCAGAATGCATGATGATCAAGGCTACTGAGGGCCTTAAGGACTTGTTTCAGAAGGTTGCATAGAGTGATTATGGGCAAGAAGCATCAAGATTCAGTGGATTTTGAAGGCTGTGTTGAAGCTTTTTCAGAGGTATGTAACTTTCAAAATTGCTCACGATTTATGAGGAATTAGAACTTGTTTTGTATGTGGTTAGGTTCTTGACAACCTCTAGATGAATCTAGGATAGGTTAGGGGCCTGATTGTGAGAATTCTTAATGATGCACACTTTCTTTATGGCTTCGGGTTAGTTTATTTATTGAAAGAAAATGGAATTGGAAGGTAGAATCATGATCAGCATGGAAAGAGGAAGAGATTGATATCAAAATTCTTAGGTTTGATGAAGTTTTTAGGCTTAACACTGTAGCTCCTCGCCAGAGAAGATGATCAGAGTCTTCTCCGACCACCACTGTGAATTTTCTCCCCCCAAACCTCAGTTCAAACGTAGGCCTTTAGATCTTGTGACTTCCTGGACCTAGTAGCCTCATCCAGCGCTTGTGAGTGAGTTTCAGAATGGTTGACTTAGACTTGATGAGGTGGCGTAGCAATGAACGTAGGGTTTGATGACTATTTGATTAGGTGGCGTAGCAATGAACGTAGGCCTTTAGATCTTGTGACTTCCTTGACCAGTCTCCTAATCTAGT